TTTTGTGCTTTATAGGTCTGTCATTTGGCAGAAGCTTTCATGTCGTGATAAGAATAAGCGCTTAATTGTAACTTAATGGACATGCATTGAGGAGAGGAAGAGAGGACTGACTGACTCGTCAGTTTTAAAGAAAGGAAGGGGGATTGGTAGTGTCTGGATTCTGCCTTTATAACATCCTGATCATCAGGCTTCAATACAATGTTTACTTTATGAAAAACAGATGCATTCTCGGGGATGATGCTCCATTTCTGCAGTGGCAAGGTCAAAGATCAAAGATGGAGAAAAGTATTAGGGGTTTTCCAAATGTATTTAGTTTCTGGTTGATTACTCCTACTGCTGCAACAACTAATACCACTAACTTCTATTTCCATTTCTAAAACTATTATTACCACTATTTCTACAACAATTGCCACTACTACTGCTACGAATCCTACTGCAATGAAAACTATGACTAAAATTAAATGTTGGCCTCCGTCGGTCAGAGTTGACCATGGAAATGTGTCTTCTTGGTCACGGTTTAGTTTTTTACTGCGTTGGCTGTGGCTTACGAGTCCGATACGAGACAGACAGGCTCATCCACAGTGTCTGCAGGTGCAAGCTGTGGTGATGTCAGCAGGTTGTGCTTTTTGTCTTTGTCTCTTTTCCTCAGCTTGAGCCTGGTACTGATGCTCGCTGGTCTTGACCTGTCACTGCACCATGCTTCGCCACCTGCTTGGGGTCATCCGCGGCCTCCTCCCAGTTTTTTTGTGTTGATGTCCAAAGCTTTCATGTCACACTTGCCGACATCCTTGTAGCGCAGCTGAGGTCGGCTGGCAGTCCTCTTTCCAGAGGTGAGTTCGCTGTAGAGGATGCCCTTTCAGATTCTGCCGTGCTCCATCCAGCAGATGTGGCCCAACCAGCTCGTTCTACATTGCCTGAGAGGTGGTGGAAGGCCAGCATGGGACAGAACTTCAGAGTTTGGCACTTTGTCTCTCCAGGTGATGGTAAGAATGCGATGAGGACAGCGTAGGTGGAAGCTATTCAGCTTACGCTCCTGTTTTGAGTGGGTGGTCCGAGACTCACTGCTGTATAGGAGGGTGCTGATGACGCAAGCACTGAGCACTGCGGCCTTGGTCTTGACAGCGAGCTTTGAATTCTCCCAGACGTGCTTGGTAAGGTGTGCCAGAGTGGATACCACTTTTCCGACACGCTTGTTTATAGCAGCATTTAGAGAAAGGTGGCCACTGATGGTGGATCCCAGGCATGTGAATTCATCGACCACCTCAAGTTCATAATTATTCATGGCGATCACAGGTGGTGTTGGAACATTTTGGCCCAAGATTTGGTCTTTTTCAGGCTGATGGTTAGCCCAAAGTCTTTGCATGCCTGGCAGAATCGATACATGAGATGCTGAAGTTGCTGCTCAGTGTTGGCAGTCACTGCTGCATCGTCAGCAAATAGCGTGCCACAGGTGTCGATCGTACATACTTTGGTTTTCCTTCTCAGACACGCAAGGTTGAACAGGGGTCCATCAGACCTGACTAAAATTAGGTTTTGTTTATTTCAGCAGCTCAAGGGATGAAATTCTAATGCCAATCATTGACGCTTGGCTGTAATGAGAAAAAGACAATGAGAGTATCTTGTTGACACTTTTGAAAAATCAATGCATGGCCTCTGACTTTGGAGTTATGGCAATGATTAAGAGGCAGCGATTACAACTGTTTCTCCATAACATAAGAATCATCTGGTTTTCTCTGTTCTACATGGTGCAGATACTTTATCAGCATAGATTCAGCCTCTGTCTAGATAACTGTGGATCAACAGATATGATTTTAATTCTTCATACCATTTGTGTGGTAGGGATTACAACTCATCTGCTGACAGCCTGCTTTACACCTGGGCGCAGCAGTGAATGCAAAAAGACAGAAGACACAACAACATGTTAGAGTATAGGAGTGAATATCTTTGATCAATCTTGCATTTTAGCTAGTAATGGACAAGGTTAGGTCATGAACCAGGAAACACTGATCCCAGATGTCCTCTTATTGATTGGCTGTAAGGGTACAATGCTAAGTCTGAGTCTGAGCATGTTATATAGTATCTAAAGAGGAAAAAGTGCTTCTATTTCAGCATTTTTCCCTGGAGTGAGGGCTTGTTTATGCGTAGCTCAAAGATTACAGATCAACTAGTTCAGTAACCCGATTGCATGGCCTCTGGTATTGCTTTTCGCAGCTTTCTCAAGATTTCTTGAGAACCCCTCAATCAAACAACTTAATTCTCGACAATGCTCTTCCTTCGGTCCTCAGCGCTCAAGGGTGAACTCATTTGGAAGACTGGTTGTCAAGAAAATCGAAGGACAGGTGTGCATACATTGATGAGCCAAAAGATTATTACCACTCACAGATGCAGCAAATAATGTTGATTATCTCATTACAACAGCACTTGTCCAGGTCTACAAACAGATCTTCGATGGTAAGCGAACAGTTGGTTCTAGTATTCAATATTTTGGATGTCGGAGGAATTGGAATTGAACAACTTTGGCAAGGACCAAATTGGTATGGCCTGATGAGTGGGTTAGAGCATAGGTAGCAAGACTTCTAGGGTGCTCCCTATCAGCAGATGTGAGTACCCACTGACAGTGGTCCAAGGATGGACAAACCATGAACCGGTGACTGGGTCTTGGGCGCCTAAAGCTCATCGATGCATGATGGCTATGAAGGCTCTCCTATCTGGTTCAACATACAGAAGGGCAAATGTAGTACAAGCCTCCGAAAATGTCAATAATACACTGGCTACCCAAAAAAAAAAAAAAGTAGCTCACTATTATATTTTGTTGGACCACCTTTAGCTTTCATCACAGGGCACATTCATTATGGCATTGTGTTAACAATCTTATACAATGTTACAACATTTGTTTCTTACCAGATTTGCATTCATTTTTGGCCGAGATATTGTATTGATGATGAGTGCAGTCAAACCACTCTGTTAAGCGTTCTCCAGCACATCCCAAAGACTTTCTATTGGTCAAGGTCTGGACTCTGAGGTGGCCAATTCATGTGTGAAAATGATTCCTTATGGTCGATGAACCACTCTTTCACAATTTGAGCCCAATGAATCTTGGTATTGTCATCCTGGAATATGCCTGTACCACAGGGACGTGCAGTCAGGGTAGGCAATGACCTCTCCTTTTTTATCGCTAGATTTTGTCAACCTGTTTCCACGTACTATGCCTGATTGTCAATCAATCAATTCGACCTTTTTTTTCTGGTCAATTAAGCCTGTAATGATTAAGAGGTGATAGTGACAAAAAGATTAATTTACCTTTATGCTTTGATTCGAGACTGCAAGGAAGTAAATCTTAATAATTAATTAGGAAAACATCTCAACTCTCTTGGTAATTCCGTATATTGTTTTGATCTTTTGTTTATCGGATTATGAAAGAAGACTGAAAATAAACTCCCTATTTTCTAAAAATGGCATTAAAAAGTACGTGTTTAAGGGGGGAAATATTATCGTAAACATATTGACCGCACGTTGAACGCCGCATAAGAAAGGTTTTAATATTTGTTAATGGCATTGCGTTAACTTCCCCTAAGCAAATATGAACAAATTTGCCGTCTCATGAGCATTTTAAGTTTGATGCACTGAGCAATAATGTCGTGGATGGAACTGGCACGCGGTTTCTGCCGTTTAATCTTGTAAATTAGTTAATCAATCCTCAGATTGCTAATCAAGCAAAGTAATAGAGTTATCATTTGTTTAACGGTGAGGATTCTGCATACCCTAACTGACCTCCGACGGCACATCACTGCTGTACCATCAAGGATTAAAAAATCCATTATTGGATTACTGATCACAAAGTATATTCGGTTAGTCTGCTGAATTCATTTTATTGCTTCAGAACAGTGCTGAGCCGAGACCAGACCAATTGAAGCAACCCCAGATCATAACACTGCCTCCAGAAGCTTGTACAGTGGGCACTATGCACGATGGGTGCATCGCTCATAGGCTCCCTTTCTTACCCTGATGCGCCCATCACTCTGGAATGGGGTAAATCTGGACTCATTAAGACCACATGACCTTCTTCCATTGCATCTCAGTGCAATTTTTATGCTCTCTTCCAAATTGAACTCATTTTTTCCCCAATTATTCTCACTAACAAGTGCCTTTCTTTGGACCACGCCGCTGTTTAATCCCAATCCTCAAGGTTCTTGTCACACTGCGCATTGGGAAATGCTCTCACCTTCATAATTAAACAGCCATGAATTCTACTTTTGATTTTTCATTATTTTATTTATTTGTTTTTATTTATTTTTTTCTCCAACCCATTTCTTCAGCAAAGTTGACACTTCACCACTATCCTTTCAGGTATTAATAAATTGCTGGACAATTTGTGACCCAATTCTGGTGATTTCAGCAATCTCCTTCGCTGTTTTCTTTACTTGATGCGGGCCCATAATTTGTCCCACTTGAAACACAGTAACAACTTTTCAATGACCATGAGATACCTCTTGCAACATAGTTGTTTAAGAAATGAGAAGTTACACACTGAGTCAGTCAGGATTAAAAGAATTATTTCCAGCTAAAACATATACATCAATGCAACAAAGATTCTGTCATAGGCACATGAGTATTTACTTATTTAAATCCGAATAGCCACTTTTTTCTTTCTTTTTGTTTAGACGGGCAGTGTATTTACTTGGGAATGTGTCACAATACACAGTGCATCATACATAGTTGTGTATTGAACTTTTAACTTGCAGACCTGTCAAAGTGCCCCACTCTAACTCCAGTTCACCCCTAAAAGTGCCTTTTTGGAATGGTTCAAGAAGGTTGCCTGGTCCAGGATATCCCTTTTTTTTTTTAAACATCATGTGCTTCGGCTGGGTAAGTGCGCACCATTTAACTTGGAAGAGATGGCATCAGGATGCACTGTGAGAGGAGGACAAGCTGGTGGATGACGGAGTGTGATACTCTGGGAAATGTTCTTCTGGGAAACCCTAATGTGGCAGGCCGAAGGAGGGCCCGAGCGGGGAATTGAACCCTAGACTCCTGGATAAGAATCAAATGCGCTGACCATATCGCCAAAGAGCCAGGCTCGTTGGCAAGGTAGCCAGGGCGTGTACTTATTGGGAGACATTTCTAGTGACAGGACCCATCAACTGTCACATCTCTCCCCCTCTCTCGGGAGCGTGTCCTCTAAGCTTTACGCATGCTGCCATCCATTAGGATCCCCCAGATCCTGCCAATTACGCCAGAATGTGGCAGGCCGAAGGAGGGCCTGGGCGGGGAATTGAACCTCAGACTCCTGGGTAAGAGACAAACGTGCTGACCACACTGATCTGGTCAGCGTGTTTGACTCTTACCCGGGAGTCTGGGGTTCAATTTCTCGCCCGGGCCCTCCTTGGGCCTGCCACACTAAGCTTTGGAATTCAAGTGACGTCAGTTTGATGGAGCTGCTTTGGCAGCATAAGGGGGACCTTCAGTGTATTAGGCAGGTGATTTTAACCTTGCGGCTGATCGATGAACATGTAGACAGACAGAGACACAGAGACTCCTTCATTTAGATGATTCTTCCATGTACACTACAGGCCAAAAGTTTTGGGCCGCCCTCAGATTTTTGAAAATATCACACATCAACTGTTCTTTCCCTATTTTTTAATCATGAAATGACTTCAGTACATAAAATATAGGAAGCCAATAGGTTTTGGGTGAATTCCAGACCTCAGACCACATTTTAAAGCTGTCTTGACTGATTGATCACTGACCACAATGTTTTATAATTGAGTTACAATGCCTTTGTGTTACATGATTTTATGTTACTAGGACGTGAACAATTTTATGTAACAAGAGGCCATGCTGTATAAATGCCTTCCCCAAAACCAAGGGGTCACATTGCACTTGGTGCATCATTAAAAATCTGAGCGTGGCCCCAAACTTTTGGCCTGTAGTGTACCCCCTTTCCTCTTGTTTTAGAGTACTAATTCCCCAAAAATATGCACTGTAGGAAAACTCCCACCATTACCCCTGACTAAACCTCTGGCTGCAGAACTGGAGTTGGGTCCCCTGGGTGCTACAGGGAAGCTGCTCGTCACTCCTTAGTAGCTATGATGAGTGAATTCTGAGAAGAAATTACCCCATGGCGCTCAATAAAGTATATTTTCTATTTTCCAATTCACGATTAGAGGCCTACGTAATTGTTGGTACTTAGCTGGTACCTAAAAGAGAGAGCTATGATATTGCGAATGCTGACTTTATTGAGTATAAAACTATTGCAATTTTGCTCTAAATTCCAATCATGAAAGTAAAATTATACAATTTTTTGGGGGGAGTGGGCAAAGAAATGTGACTCACTCGACAGCTACGACTAACCCCTCATACTTTTTCAGACAAAGCTCATGTGTTTCAATGTGGTGAAAATGGCATCATCACTTCACAGAATCCAAAGAAATAGTGACTTTGGTCAAAAATGAGAAGCTCAGAAATCTTGAGATACTTGACTACCATTTTGCTGAAATTCCCTTACATGCCACAGAATGCAAAGACAAAAAAACAGTGTAGTTTAGTCATATCAAGTCAATTTTCCTTGTACCCCTTTCCTTGGGGGTTTATTGGTAACAAAACTGAAACAGCTCAAGTGATGTGGTGAAGTGCTTATAAATGACTTAAAATGCTACAAAGGCAAGAGAGATGGAAATGCTGCATCTGTATTTGAGCACTTAACTGATTGCCTATTTAAGGACTAAGATGATGTTTTTTTTTCCCCACAGTGTGCAGCAACTGCTGCCATGGTTTAATGTGTATGCGCATTGCGGTCGGTTAGTCATAACTCACTCAGCTATGGACGTTTAGAAGGGACACTTATCGGGAAGCATGTGTATTACGTGCCATGGGTCTGAATGGTTTTGTTCTAGTCATATTCTTTATTGCTTTATGACTTCACAAGGCTGTGTCTATTAGTCATTCGGTGATTGGATAATGCAAACTCCTAATCCTTGTTGGAATTATAGATTTGGGGGAAATTCCAGAATTTAAGACACCACTTCTGAGTATCAGAGAGCTGCCCACTATTTGTAGGACACTCCCCATCCTTCAAGGAGGGTTAGAATGTCTGTTGTGATAATCAAACGCTACACTGAAGATCAGAGTTGAATCAACTTTTATAGAGTCTGTTTCCGAAATATTCTCTGTATATAAATTTAACTTTGAACATTTTACTCGTCACTATCTATCATCATCTTTTGGCCTCTTCATGCAAACAGTTACTGTTGGACAATTTTCCCTTGATTTGCATTCTGCAGGTCCTCAGAGTGTGACCACTTCTCTTATCACTGCAATAAGAAACAAGAAATGAACGTGACTCATAGCCAATGATTTTGGTTAATGATAAAGGAAATTAGCCAAATCATCTGGGGATCAGTAAGGCTTTAACTTTTTCTCTTTTTAATTCAGAATCTGGACATATTTGCTGGGGGTGGGGGAGGGGAGGGAGACATAAAACTTTGGCTAATTAATCACTGATAAAGAAAATGCATCATAGCATTTACTATTAATTGCAGTGTTCATGGTAACACTTAAGACCTTCAAAAATTGCTTGATGGTCATTTCAGTTTAGGGATTTCTGTCCTTATCTTTTGAAAAGATACCTGCAGTGTGACTGCGTTGCCACACTAAAATGGCCAGCCTTTTCTTAAATCTCATTTGAAATGGAGCAATATTTGCCATTCATTTTGCTATCTGTTGAGGATGACAATGAAATGGACAACCCTAAACATTTGTAAAGATACACAAATGAACAGACTTGATTTAAAGACCCAAGCCTGTGAACAATATCTGTAGTTTTCATTATTTGTCCTGCCATTGTTTTGCTAAACAACTCAAGCACCCCAATGAGCACATCATGAAACACCACATGCAGTGCCCTCTGTGAGAACTGCAGTTCTTTTTATGCCACTCCATGCCAGTAGAGGGCACTGACTGAATGCAAGTCGTCTCGTGGGGTACCCTGTACACAGCACTGACAGGTATGATTTTGTGGGAGAGGCACTAGGAAAGAGGTGAATTCCACGCCTTGTGTTTTATTCTGGTTAGATAGTGCAGGTAGTCTTTTCATGTTCTTGTCTCTTGCCAGATACATGGAGGTTGAGACAGATTTGTTTTGGTAAATTCAGTTCTTTTCTTCGGCATCATGCGAGGTCTCTTTTCATTACCCTCCCCATCTGCACTTTCATGTGTCACCATTGGTTATTTCTTGCTCACTTTTCGTATTTTACTCTTTTCAAAATTACATTCGTTAGTTTTGTTTAGTTGGCCATTATTCTCAAGACAAAGTCTAAAGGGGCTTGTAGTGTATTTTGGGGGCTCGTCCGGGTTAAACTTTAATTTCACTGATATAACTAGCTCTGAAAATAAGTATGTGTACAGGGCCTTTCTGTTGTTATCCCTTAACCTTTAAACAAAGTCAAAGGTTGCTCAATGTAGCAGCATTTCGACTGATTAGATTTGCCAAATGTTGCAGCACTGCATAGTTGTAAATATAGAAGCTACTGAAGTATAAATATATAGAGGCAATATACCAGACTCAAGTTGATACTGCAGCTGTGGTTTACCTTATTGCATCTTACAATCTGACCCCCAGACCAACATTGTTATATAAAGATTGGATGGAGCAAACTTTTTCCTGTTCCTATTAAAACTGTTTGATTTTTCAATTTTTACACAGCACATTTTCCTCCCTCTTTTGACTTCTAAAGGGGCTTGTGTAGAAGGAAGATTCAGCAAGTGAGGAATAAGTGGTGAATTGACCATGTATGCATGTACCAACTCCCCACGCTTCAAAGCCTATTCCTTTCCCCTGAAACCTTTTTTGTTTGCGCTATAGTTTGTGGAAGCGGCTTGATGCGAGCCCCTCTTAAGGAACAGAGTGAGCATTAAATTGGACCATTAACTCCTCTTCATGCATATCACCAGGATTTAAACCTGCAGGAGGCCGCCTGCTCCACACCGCCTACCGCGTCTCCCGCCATCTAGAATGATCTCTCCGTAATGGAATCTCAAATCCCGGCTCACGCTGTTCTCTGGCAATCACCTACATTCCGCTGAGCAGAAAATGAAATGTTTTTCATTTGCCATGGTTTCATAATTCCAGGACGACGAGTTTGTCAGCAAAAATTGGATCTTCATCTCAGAACTTGATGTGTGCATTCAGACGGCATGTTGTGGAACTGAGGCGTTTCGTGATGACACCTCCTCAGTAGAGTCCCTCCCCCAGCTTCTCTCATCAATAATGCACAAATGACTTTTCCTCCAAAAATAGAATTGTTTATTTCTTTAATAAGAAATGCTTACGGAAGGCTCAGCATTAATGGTATGCTGTTTGCGCATGCTTTTATCAGTTTACCTCCCGCCGAGTTAAAATTGAGTGTTGTTTATTGGGTTTATTTGAGGAAATTAAGTCAATTTGTAAAGCCGTGAGAGCTTTCTTTTTTCCAAGCTAAAAGCTGATTTTCACACTGCCCTGATAAAAAAGCACATGGTGGATGCAATAAAACTGTAGCGCAGCATTGCAGCCTCATGTGTGTAGCTCCGAAGCAATAAAGCTGCAGTGAGATGTGTTAAAAAATGAAGCACTTGTGAGACTGCTGCTCCATCTTCTCACATTACCTTCCTGAGATTATTAATGTGGTAATGTGGAGGAAAAAGCATTCGCAGGGGAGGGAAGCCCAACTGTGCACATCTTATAAAAGAGTACTACCTTTGCAAAACTTCAGCACAATCAACTTTATTCAGTGATTGCACTAACTGCATTGCAATGCATTAGCTTTTTTCTTAATCTAAGGATACAACAGTAAATGGTGATGATTCTTTTTTTTTTCCGAAACACGATCCAAAAAGCCTTTTTTCTGAACAGTTGACGAAGCGGAGCGTGCATATTGCGATCCTGGAGATTAAAAAATCCATTCCTTTCCTCAGTAAAAAGAATCTATTTGTCCTGCACAATAATCTGTCAAATATTTCCCATTAGTTTCGTATGAAATCCCTCTTCTTGCATGGTTATTTTTGAGGTTTAACATGGAGAGTTTAGAGTTTAGTGC